CAACGCTCTCCGGCGTGCGCATGCGCGATGCCCGCCACCTCCCCCGCCCGCCAGGATGCGCATGCGCAGTGCCCTCCGAGCACTACCCTCGCCGACCGCCCCTCCTACCGCCGCGCAGGTCCTGGCAGGGCGATAGCGAGCTCCTCTCAGTCCCGCCTCCCACCACCGCCACTAGCCCCGATTAATTTTCGTACCGCAGTTCTCTGTCGCGACAATCTTATCCGCGTGGGGACGGGGTGGTTTGAGGAAGCTCGGCTTGGCCTCCTCCCTCCGCTCTCTCCTCCCCTCAACCCACCTCGGCCAGGACCTGGCGCTGAGGGGGGCCGAGCCAAGATGGCGGCGGCGGGAAACAGGGAGGCGGCGTGAGAGGTGGCCGAGGGGCGGGGGGGGTGTCCCCATCCCCCCGCGGGGTCCTTCTGTTGGGGTGTCCCCCCCCCCGCTTGTGGGGTCCTTATAGCGGGTGTGGGGGGCTCTCTTGGGGTCTCCACGGCTTCGGGATCCCCCCGGCTTTAGGGTCCCTCCGGTTTTGGGGTTCCCGGCTTCAGGGTCCCCCAGCTTTGGGCTTCCCCTGTTTTTAGGGTCTCCCGGTTTTGGGGTCCCCCCAGTTGTGGGTTTTCCCCGGCTTTAGGGCCTCCTGGTTTTAGGGTCCCCCAGCTTTGGGGTCCCCCCAGCTTTAGGGTCTCCCCGGTTTTGGAGTCCCCCAGCTTTGGGCTTCCCTTGTTTTTAGGGTCTCCCCGGTTTCGGGGTCCCCCAGCTTTGGGCTTCCCTTGGTTTTAGGGTCTCCCTGGTTTTAGGGTCTCCCTGGTTTTAGGGTCCCCAGCTTTGGGGTCCACCCCCCCCACCCCCCCCAGCTTTAGGGTCCCCGCCTCCGGTTTTGGGGGAGGAGGAGGAGGATGGCGGAGGAGAAGAAGCTGAAACTGAGCCACACGCTGCTGCCGGCTGAGTCGATGAAGGTGATGGCGGAGGCCATGGGCATCGGGCAGGTGCCCGAAGAGACCTGCCAGCTGCTGGCCGAGGAGGCCAGCTACCGCCTCAAGGAGATAGCCCAGGTGGGGGGGCACGGGGTTTTGGGGGGGACACACCCCCTCAGATCACCCAGCTTTTGGGGGATGATGGGGATGTGGACAGAGGGACACAAAGCCCCTGGGTTTGGGGCACAAGGGGGTGACAGCCCATCCAGGGCTCGCTGTCCCCTCCCTGGTGACATCCCCCATTCTTGGGGGGGTGGGGGGTGTTTCCCCTAACCCCTTGTGCCCCCTTTTTGCCCCCCCCCCGCTTTAGGACGCTCTCAAATTCATGCACATGGGGAAGCGGCGCAAGCTGACGACGGGGGACGTCGACTTTGCTCTCAAGCTCAAAAACGTGGAGGTACCACGACCACCCAATTTCGGGGGGGACCCCCAGCACCCTTGGGGGGGTTTGGGGTCCCCCAGCCCCCCCTGACCCTCCCCACCATTTCCCCCCACAGCCCCTCTACGGCTTCCACGCTCAGGAATTCATCCCTTTCCGTTATGCCAGCGGCGGCGGCCGTGAGCTTTATTTTTACGAGGAAAAAGAGGTGGATTTGAGCGATATCATCAACACCCCGCTGCCCCGCGTACCCCTCGACGTCTGCCTCAAGGGTGGGGGTGGTTTTTGGGGGGGTCGGGGGTGATTTTAGGCTTGGGGGGGGTGTTTTCCTCATCTCATTTTTCTCTCCCCACTCACAGCTCACTGGCTCAGCATCGAGGGGGTGCAGCCGGCCATCCCTGAAAACCCACCACCTGGTGAGCAAGCTGCCCCTCTTCCTCCTTGGGGTAGATTTGCCCCCCATCGGGGGGGTGGATAACCCTCCCAAACACCCCATTTTTCCCCCCGCCCAGCCCCCAAGGAGCAGCAGAAGGCCGAAGCCACAGAGCCCCTCAAGTCCACCAAGCCAGGGCAGGAGGACGATGGGACCCTGAAGGGGAAAGGACAGAGTGTGACCACCACTGATGGCAAAGGTGGGGGGGTTGGGGTCTATGGGGCGAGAGAAGGGTTGTGGGGCATTCGGGGGGGTCTGGGGGGTGTTTGGGGGGGGTCTGTGGGGGGTTCAGGATGGTTTGGGGTGGGTCCATGGGGTGTTTGAGGGGTCCATGGGGAGCTCAAGAAGGGGCATCTATGGGGTGTGTGAGAGGTCTGTGGGGTGTTCCAGATAGTTTAGGAGGGATCTATGTTGGGGTTGAAGGGTCCGTGGGGTGTTCATGAAGGGTTGTGGGGTATCTTGGGGGGGGGGGGTTGGGGCATCCATGGGGTGTTTAGGAAGATCTATGGGTGTTGGAGGGTTCTATGGGGTCTTCGTCAACAGTTGTGGGGCATCTCTGGGGGATTTGAGGGTCTGTGGGGTGTTTGAGGGGTCTGTGGGGTGTTCATGAAGGGTTGTGGGGCATCTATGGGCTCTGTGGGCACTTCATGAACTCCGGGGGGTGTCTGTTGGGATTTTGGGGGGGTTCTTGAGCCCTTGGTGACCGTGTTGTCCCCCCCTCCCTGTCCTGTGTCCCCCAGGGAAGGAGAAGAAGGGTCCCTTGCTGGAGGGGACCCCGCTCCGCCTCAAACCCCGCAGTGTCCACGAGCTCTCGGTGGAGCAGCAGCTTTACTACAAGGAGATTACCGAGGCTTGCGTGGGCTCCTGCGAGGCCAAACGCGCAGTGAGTGTGTCCCTGTCCCCTCCCAACCCCACCACCTCGCCCTGATGTCCCCAAACATCCTGGGGGTCCCCAACGCCCTTTTTGGGGACATCCAGGTGTCCCCAGATCAACAATGACCTCTTGGGTTGGCGTCCCCATGCCTCCTGCTCTCCCTCCATCCTCAATACCCTCTTTATGGGTCCCTGTCCCGCCCTGCCATGTCCCCAACCCCCCCCACGTCATTTGGGGTATCCCCTTGTCCCTTTGGGGTGACATCCCCATGTCCCCCCCACACCAGGAAGCCCTCCAGAGCATCGCTACCGATCCCGGTCTCTACCAGATGCTTCCACGCTTCAGCACCTTCATCTCGGAGGGGGTGAGTTCCGGGGGGGTAGGTGACACAGATGTGTCCCCAAAAGCGGCATGGGTCTTGTGACAGTCCCCCCCCCCCTTTGTGCCAGGTCCGCGTCAACGTGGTGCAGAACAACTTGGCGCTCCTCATCTACCTCATGAGGATGGTGAAGGCTCTGATGGACAACCCCACTCTCTACCTGGAAAAATCCGGGGGTCTTGGGGGGGGGGGTGACCGTCTCCCCCTCCTGTCCCTTACCTGGGACCCCCCCAGAGGGCGTCACCAGCCTGTCCTGGTCACTCAGGGTTGCTGTGACCATCCCGTGTCATCCTCCCCGTGTCCCCAAGCACCACAAGCTCCTCCCCATCATCACCACCTCTCCCTGTGTCCTGACGTGGGGCTGTCCCCGTGTCCCCCCCCCCCCCCAACTGTCCCCCCCCCTTTCCCCCCCGC